TTCCTTCCCTCCTCTCCCTTCCCTTCCCTCTCTCCTTCCTTCCCTCCTTCCCTTCCCTTACTCCCTCCTCTCCCTCTTCCCCCTTCCCTCCTTCCCTTCCCTCCCTCCCTCCCTCCCTTCCCTCCCTCCCTCCCTCCCTTCCCTCCCTCCCTCTTCTTGATGATACGCAATTCGGCCATAAATCTCACACGTATCGTCGATATCAAATTCTCTTGTCAAGTGGAGCCATTCGGACATATCTCACGGGCGTCGCAAGCTGTAATTAAGGGATACGAGAAACACACAAGGATCTTCTCTCGTTCGCTCGCTCTCTCTCTCTCTCTCTCTCTCTCTCTTCTCTCTCTCTCTCTCTCTCTCTCTCTTTCTTTCTTTCTTTCTCTCTCTCTCTTCTCTCGATCGCTCGTCTCTCTCTCTTCTCTTCTTCTTTTCTCTCTCTCTCTCTCTCTCTCTCTCTCGCTCGATCGCTCCCTCTCTCTCTCTCTCTCTCTCTTCTCTCTCTCTCTCTCTCCTCTCTCTCTCTCTCTCTCTTTCTCTGCCTCTGCCTAGGTCTCTGTCTCTCTCTGATATAGAGCAACAGAGAGAGAGAGAGAGAGAGAGAGAGAGGAGATCTGTTCATAAATTTCAGTGTTTGTGTGTTCCTTCATATCAAATCCATATCATCCTATCCACTATCCTCTTATTCTCCTCTTTTATTCCCTGCACTCCACTTCTCTCTTTATTCAACGTTTCTCGTCCATTCATTCTGTTTCTTTCCTGTTTCTGCGATTTTCCATATATCTCGTTTCTTTTCTTTTTGCATTATAATTATCATTTTCTTATTTCTTTTTTATCATGATCGTTAATTATGTTATTAGTTTTTTTATAATCATTGTTGTTAATTTTTTTTTTTTTTTTTTTTCATTGTGAAAGTAACTGCTACTGTAAGACGTTTTTATTAAAATAGCATTGACATCATCATTATGTGATCACATTAACAAAATATAAAAAAGAAAGAGAATAAAAACTTACAAATTACAAATATCCGCAACCTTTTTTGAAGAACACGAATCAACAACAGTGATTTTCAGTATCCCCTTCCCCCCCTTTTCCTTCCTCCTCCTCCCCTTCCCTCAACCGGCCTTATCTATGTCGTTATCTCTTCCTTATCTGACCTGCTGGCGTGCAAGGGTGAAATAAACCTTGGAAATCTTGCTAAAATCGACTTTACGAGCACTTCATACCTTCTCTTTCCGCCCGAGAAATAACCTAAAATCAGCCTTTGTTTTTACGCGACGAAGACAAGGTTTCCAACATTATTTCTAACACGTTAGCTTTAGATCAGGGTTGCGTAGAAGCGAGAATATACTTCTAAAAAAAAAAAGAAAAATAAAAAAAATCTTTAAAAAATCCAAAATAAAACGAATAACGACCTCGTATGCAGACTTTCCTACCGCGATAATAAATAAGAATGCATGATTATACACATGTTTTCATGCATTTTACCGCCTTTAAAATAAGGGATGATAATAATAAAGTGCGACGGATTTTTGTAAAGATCCCAGACGCGAACCTCTCTGTCACGCTATTGCTGTCTGCGGCGGCCACTAAACACGGGTTGCGGAGAAGCGTTTGAAGAGACTTGTTAACCCATTAGTGCAATGAGTCAGCGACTGTATGACGACCGGGACTGAGTTGTATTGTTACCTTCGTAGTAGTAGCATCTTCTGCCGTGTTGGGAGAGGGAGGGAGGGAAGATGGAGGGAGAGGGGTAGGGAGAGAGGGGTGGATAGAGGAAGGGAGAGAGAGAGAGGGGGGGAGGGGGGGAGAAGAAGGAGAAAGGGAGGGAGAAAGCGAGAGTGAAAGAGAAAGGGGGAGTAGGAGAGAAAGAGAGAAAGGCAGAAATAAAAAGAAAGAGAGAGGGGATAAGAGAGAGAGAGAGAGAGAGAGAGAGAGAGAGAGAGAGAGAGAGAGAGAGAGCATGGTCGATAAAGACAGACAGAAACAGAGTGAGAGGAAGAAAAAGCAGGAAAATATGTTTATCTTTTAGAAAACGAAATACAGAAGGCTTTGTAAGATGAAAATAAAGAACATATTTCTCCCTCTCTATCTATCTATCTATCTGTCTATCTATCTATCTATATATATATATATATATATATATATATATGCCTCCCTTTCTCTCTCTCTCTCTCTCTCTCTCTCTCTCTCTCTCTCTCTCTCTCTCTCTCTCTCTCTCTCTCTCTCTCTCTCTCTCTCTCACTCTCTCTCTCTCTCTCTCCCTGTTGTTAGTTCATGAGTGTAGCAATCTGTCCGAGCTCAACACCGCGGCTGCAACCTCTGTCTTAAGCCGTTCGGTAGTTGGTACCTGTGTTACCCTCCCCCCCTTCCCTCCCCCCCCTTGTCCCAACCCACCCTCCCTCCCTTCCTTTCTACCCTCCCCATTCACCCCTTCCCTCCTTTCTTACCTTCCATCCGCATTTCGCTTTCGTCTTTTTTTCTTTCTTTTTTTTTTACTTCCTTT